GAGATTGGATTTATACCCCGCCCTTCACTTGGAGTCTCAGAGCGGCTTACAAACTCCTCTCCCTTCCCCTCCCCACAACAGACACCCTGTGAGGTGGGTGGGGCTGAGAGAACTCTGACACAAACTGCTCTTTTTCAAGGACAGCTGTGCCAGAGCTTGTGACTGACCCAAGGTCACATCAGCAGGTGCCAGTGGAGGAGTGGGGAAACAAACCCGGTTCTCCCAGATTAGAGTCCGTACACTTAACCACTACACCAAACTGGCTCTCCAAGAGGAGGAATCTCATGACCAAACATTCATACAGCACCTGCTAGACATCCATCATACATAATGTAACAAGAACCCATCCTGCTTCTGTTTCTAGCCCTGTCCAGTAAAAGAGAATGTACACAGTTCTGTTACCAGTGAGAGTACCAAAAAAAGGGGGTGGGGAGAAAATGAACTTACCATATTTGGAAAATGACCCATTACGAGTAGAACCCCAAACCTATTCGTGCTAAGCTCCTAACAGATTGCTGCAAAGCCAACAGTTGGGGACTTTTCTCTGTCCCACCACTGGCAACAGGAGTGGTTGGGCCTTAACAATAACAGTACTTTGAATTGTGCCCAGGAACAGATGGGTAGCCAGTTTTTAACTGCAACATACAAAATGCTGTATAGTAGAGAACTTCCTTCTGGGTGATGCTCTGAATAGCAGGAGAGGATTTGAGAAGGAACCTGCTCTACAGATCTTGTTCCACATGAAGGCAAGGCACCAAGTGTTTATGGTGTGAAGCCAGAGAGCAGTTTAGTGAAGCTGCTCCCATCTAATAGCCAAAGTCCCCTTTTCATGTGGATACTTATTTTCCCCAACAGAGGGCTTGCTCTCCCTAAACAGCTTTTTCTACAGACTCAGGGGACTCCCTGGGTCGACGGAAAAATCCAACAATTTTTTTCAAAAAACACCCTAAAACTTTGGGGAGGCTTGAATTCCCCCCAATACCTTTTGAAATGGCCCTCACAGGGTCTATTCCAGGCATCAACTGTGAGAGATTAAAAAGGTTGGGGGGTGGGAAGGGTTCTAACTGGTTCTGTCACTAAAAGGCAGAGGGAGGGGGAAGGGCCCTTTCCAGGCCTATTTCGGCCTTTGAGGGAGGAAGCCTTGGGGCCAGGCCTGACAAGGGTTGCCAGTTCCAGGCTGGGGAATTCCTAGAGATTTTGTGATAGACTCTAAGGAAGGCTGGGTTTGGGGAAAGGAGAGACCTCAGCTGGGTATAATGGCACAGAATCCACTCTCCAAAGCAGCCATTTTCTTCAGGGAGACAGATCTCTGCTGTCTAGAGTTCAGTTGTAATTCTGGGCATGGTCAGTTGTTCAGTTGTAATTCTGGGCATAGTCTCCAGGTCCCACTTGGAGGTTGGCAACCCTAGTAGGGCTGCCAAGTGGGGGCGGGTGGCAGGTAAACCCCCGCTTTGGAGGTCTGATTTCCGCCGCCGTGGAATCGGGCCCTGGGGGGAACTCCGCCCCCTGAAGCGCAGCGTGGCTGCATCACCAGAGGTGACGCAACCACGTTGATTATGTTGGGGGCGTGGCCCCGATCGTTAGAGGGAAAACTCTATGGTTTTCCCTCCAACGATCGGGGCCACGTCCTCAACGTGATCGATGTCGCGCATCACTTCTGGTGACGTGCTGGTGGCACGCGCGCACACGGCAAGGGACAGCTCCCGGAGCGCGGCGAGGCTCCCCCGATGGTGAGTAAAATTCACTTGGCAACCCTAAACCCTAGGCCTGGCAGCAGTCTAGGGTTGCCAGGTCCCTCCTGGCCACTGGCAGGGGATGGGGGTTGGGTTGTCAGATTCAGAGTGGGAAACTCCTGGAGATTTGGGGGTGGGCCCTGAGAGAAAAGGAGACAGGGACCTCAATTAGGTACAATACCAGAGTCCACCCTCCAAAGCATCCATTTTCTCCATGGGAAGTTATTATCTCTGTAGTCTGGAGACTACAGTAATTCCAGGGGATCCCCAGGTCCCACCTGGAGGCTGGCATCCCTAGGCAGCACTCTCTGGGTGACTTGATGCCACCTGATTTGCATGACTCAACTAGGCCTGGCTGCTTGCGACTCTTCAACAGCAGCCACCCTATGAAAGCCAGTGTGGTACAGCAGTTAGAGCTTCAGAGTAGAGTCTGCAAGACCCAGGTACAGATCCCCATCTTGTGGTGGAAGCTGACTGGCTGATTTTGGACCAGTCACATGCTTTCAGCCTAACCAACCTTACAGGGTTTTTGTGCAGATAAAAAGGAGAGAATAATATAAGCTGCTTTGGTCCCCACTGTAGAGAGAGACTGTAATTTTCCTAGGTAGAGGCTGTGGGGAAGGGGGTGGAGATGGAAAGCTGAAGACAGAGAGGCAGATAAAGGTAGGTTGGCTGTGAAGGAAATAGGGTTGCCAACTCCAGATTGGGAAATTCCTGGACATTTGAGAGGTGGAGCCTGGGGATGGTGGGGTTTGAGGAGGGGAGGAACTTCAGAATGGGTATAATGCCGTAGACTTCATCCTCCAAACTAGCCATTTCCTCCACAAAAACTACCATTGCCAGCCTCCAGGTGAGGGCAGGAGATCACCCAGATTACAACTGTTGTCCAGGTGAGAAATCAGTTAACCTGGATAAAATGGCTGCTTTTGAAGGTTGAGTCTATGGCATTATACTTTTCTGAGGCTGCTTGCCTCCCCAAGCTCACTGTCCCAAGGTTCCACCCCTAAATCTCCAGGAATTTCCCAACTTGGAGCTGGCAGCCCCAAGGTGAATTGATCTCTGTAGCTGGGAGATCTGTTGTGATTCCTGGAAAGCTGCCACTGCTGCTGTGGGGGGAGAGGAAGCAGGAGGGTGGCTGGAAGCACCACCACCACTGCTGTGTGGGGTGGGGGGAGAAAGCAGGCAGGAGGATGGGAGAGTGATGGGGGCAGGAAGTGTGATGAGGTGGGGAGGCGGAAAAACAAAGAGAATGATGAGGAGGCAGAAAGAGCCAGGAAGTAACATGCATGGAGGAGTGATAGAGAGTAAAAAAAGGAAGGCAGAAAGAGTGAGAGAGGTAGGGGGAGAGGGGAGGAAGCAAAGTTTCTTGCGGGTCTCCAAGTGTCCATGTATCTAATTCTCAACAGCCCCCTATGTGCAGATATCTAAATCTGCACATAGGGGTTCCCCACGTGTGTTATCTAAAAATATAAACAGGTTTGTGAATGCAATCACTTAGGGTTTGGCAACCATACCTATGGTTATGTCACATACATGTTTTAAACTACTGTGCAGTATGTTTTGAGCTGGATGTCACAAAAAGTTGTAATTGCTGTATATACTGCATACAAAAGCACTGTGCTAGTAAGATACTAAAAATTTTGCTGTCATATTTCAAAAGCAATTAACTCTCCAAATTTAAAACATGACCGATATTTTGGAATGCAAGGTACGCAATTATGATACCAGCTGGACCAAAGAGGAAGTGGACAACGACTAAGGCACACAGGACAAGTGGGCATCCTTCTCTTTTTATTTCCCCTTTAAAACATTTTAGTGCAATTAAGCGACGTACCTTTGGAGAAAACAATTCAAAGCTGGTTCAAACTGCTTTAAACCCCCCCCCCAACAGTGAGACCCTGAGACCATAGTTTTACTGGCCCTTTTTGTCCCAAATACTTCACATATATACAAACAGAACAAAACAAAGTCCCTCCCCGATGTATATAATACACAATATAAACAATCCAATTAGTTTTTCTGGATTTATATAATTTATAAGCAGCTTTGTAATTTTCTGTTTTGGATTGTACTTAGTTGAATGCTGTATTTGTCTTTAAGGGTTTCCCATGCACACTTTCCTGGAAGTAAGTTATTACAGCTACCTCACTGAAGTTCTTCTCCCCCCCCCCCCCCCCAAAGGCTTCCACCAAAAGCACATACTGGTTACATGCCTGTGTGCAATCTATAGCGATGTCCTAAGCGTCACAGGTTTTGATGGAACTTGTCTCCAAATGGGTTAGATCTTGTGCAAAGTATCCAGACAGAAAATATTCCCATTACCAGACTGGGATTTCTCTACTTCCCACTACAGCCCCAAATCTCCCCCCAAATCCTGCTCTTGAGAAACAGGGGACCTCCCTGTAAGGAATGGCATGCAAGGGGGGGGGGGAGTTGGAGCTATTCTGGGGGGGGGGAGACGCTGAAGAATCATCCCTTTCTACTGGATTCAATCCCGTGCGCTTAGAATTACAGAAGTGACTTAAAAGATATGTGACCTATTTCTATCTTGCCCATTTGGTAAACTTAACATTCATTGAATACATCACATTCTTTTTAGTTTCAAGTGGGATCTACCAAGCTGGAAGAGCCCACCAGGTGCTCAATCATGCTGTCTGCCTTGAGATTCAAATTCAGGGTTGCATTACTGCACACCTTGTCGGTATAACACTAAGTTGGTTGCCTATGTTCAAGCTTGGTGGGTTGCAACTGCGTAGCCCTGCACCAATGCCATTTTAACTGAACAAAAGCCCAAACTTAATTTTATTGCATTCTAAATGCAGCTGATTAAACCAAGCAGCTGATCTGTGGTACGAGAACTGGGATTTCCCTGAAGAATATATACATCTATTTTTCAAAGCTCAGCTTTCAGAAAACAAACTACGAAAGTAGAACAGCACTGGGAAAACGGTTTCCTACTCTGAACTTTGTGTTAGTGATCATCATCATCAAACTTATTTTAACTTCAATAGCAGTGACATCATATCACGCTTTAATACATCATGCAAAACTCTTGTTCCTGCTTGCCAAACGAATGGTCCTTCACCACCTAGAAAAACTGAGCTCACTGAACTCTCTGGAAAGTGTGTGTGTTGGCTGTACTCAGTGGGAGAGAGGGTGCTCCAGCCACAACCCCCTTCCCAAGGCTCTTTGCTGCAGGGGGAGGGCAATCCTCCTTCCTGCTCTGCTTCTCCATGGCAAATACAAGAGACACCTACGAGGCTTTGGGGACATGGCACTTTGCACCACTGGAAAGAGCATTCAACCCGGGTAAAAACCAAGCAAAAGGAAGAAAAGGGGCAGGTGTGAGAGCTTCCTTTGAAAGCACAGCAAATTTTTATTCTCCCTGCATATTTCAGCTCTGGCTTTCTGACCTCCCGGGTGGCCAGATCCCAGGAAGAATAATCCCCACTCCACTACAACGGTGCTAAAGCAAGAATGAAAGCACTGGTGGAAGAAAACACACACACACACATTGCATATATCCAGGGTCTCTGTGCCACTTTTGTGTGTAGAATAACATCAGCACTGTGGGAAAGCCTCAGGTCTCATCCTGCATCCGTTCCAGCAACTGTCTGCACCTCTTCAGGATCTACCTCATATTCTGAGATCTAATTTTACCTCTGAATCAGAGGCTCACCTCATAAGCTCCATTCCCCAATGTCAGGTATATTGGTAATGCACAACTGTAGTCACATTTTGACTACTGGTGGTATCAAACGTTTGGAGACAGCATCCTTTCAGACTGACATTTCTTTAAAAAAAATGCTAGAGCAGTGCTCAATAACATTCTGTTTGTACTAGAGACAGTAATATTCTTTAGCTGTGTGACTCTCACTGTAGTTCCGTCCAGACAACGGGTCGACAAACCACTGGTCTCAGAAGACTTTGCAACATACTTCCTGAAAGAATTAACTGGAACCTCCGTGTTTCAGATCTTTGATACCACATCTTCCTTTCTCTCAACTGCTTGGCTATTCATTCAAGACTACAATGAACAGTCCACTACGCAATTTTCAATTTGGAGTCCCTCTCGCTACGGTATCGTGGTTGATTAAAAAACATGATCAGAACAGCGACAAACCCCAACACAGCTCCGAGACTGGGGGGCCCACACGGACTGAACTCCTGGGCAATCCCTGAGAGAAGAGGGGCAACTATGCGGCCCATAGCTGACACAGACTGACCGATGCCTATGAGCATGCCACTGGCCTGGTCCCTGCCCAGAGTCAACTCAAGGTCAGTAATGCAAGTACGTCCAACGGTAGTTGAAAATGCCAGAATGGTGGAGGACAAGACCACTGTCCACATACTGGCTGATACAGAATACAGCATCAGCAGTGAACAAGTGAGGATGGTGGATCGTAATAAAATGGCATGGTTATTGCGCCGATACAGTCTTGCAATTGGTCCGAGCAGGAAACCGGCGGCGACTCCGAGCGTGCTGCTGTAGCTTATGAGGTAGCCAGTGTGTTTCGGCTTCATCCCAAACCTTTCTTCCAGTGCCAAGACAAAGTTGCTATGGTACAGCATGATGGAAACAGACATCAGTAGTCGTACAAGAAAAATATCCCACAGATCAGAACTTGCAATGCTGCCAAGATTCTTCAGCATAGAGACCACCTCAGTCCAAGATGATCTGGCAAGAATATGACACTTTGTGGCTTCGTCGGGTACAGATTTGATCTGCAGGCTTTGTTTTGCTTCCGCTGAGGGGCTGGATCTTGCTTTCTTGCTACCGAACCTTTCTTTACCATGTGCGTTTTCTTCATATGAGAGCAGCATCCAGCAAAGGCCTGCAAAGAATATTGGCACAAAGTTAAGGATTGTGTCTGGCCTTTTATGAAGCTGTGCAAATGAGAGTTGATAGTGTTCGCAGGTTTTTTTTTTTTTAAAAAAAGTAAAATGAAGAAAGAAAAGGGTTAGTGCAGAAGAGCAGAGTGAATCAAATGTAGGTAATCCAAAAAGGTATTCTCCATTGTGGACAATCACGTAACTTGTAAGGCCTGACGCTGCATTAAAAGGAAACATAGTTTTTAGCTGTGATGGGACTACACCAATTATTTACTGAAACAATATCCAGCGTTTGCAAGCAAGTATTAGACAGCTACCTTAGAGAGACTGCCTAGGGTGGAATACAAAATACAGTAAGAGCTTTGTTATCCAGCACTTGATTATCTAGGATGCCCAGCTGACTGGCCGTGCCCCTCAGCCACCCTATACCCACGGCTATTTTTGGGCAGGAAAGCACAGGAACGGAGTTCCGGCTGGCTCCCAAGTTGGCCACGCCCAGCAGGAACTTATTAGCATTATAGGCCACACCCAACATCAGAAACTCATTAGGATTGGCTACATTAGAGGTGTGTGGCCTAACATGCAAAGGGGTTCCTGCTACAAAAAAGCCCCGGGTTTTGACAACAAACAAGGTAAACAGAATAAGAAGCAAAAGGTGGGTGTGGCTGGATAAGCACACTTCTGGTAACATGGGGGTGCGGCCTAATATGCCAATGAGCTGTGCTGTCAGGGGTGTGGCCTAATATGCTAATGAGTTTCTGCTGTTGGGTGTGGCCTATTATGCTAATGAGTTCCTGCTGGGCTTTTTCTACCAAAAAAGCCCTGCCTATACCAATGTCTTTGGGCACACATGCCCCTCACTCCTGCCCCTCCAACCACTGCGGGGCTTCTGACAGATGGCACTGTCAGCTGATACCATCTTCAGGTGTCTCCTTTCCCCATCAGTATGCCTAGAGCTTTTAGGAGCCGACTGCCAGAGGATTCCTGGGCAACTGGCCCACTTGTCTGCCTCCTGTGTAGGATGACCGGGGGGGGGGGTGGTCCCCACCAAGCATGGGGCTGTCACCATGGTGTTCCCTTTGCTTTACTAACAATAAGCTCCATTGGCCTGAGGTCTTGAGCTGAGCGATACAATTCATTTAAAACACAGATCATAGAAACATTTGCAAGTAATAAATAAAAAGCATTATATCACTAATAAAATAGCATTAAAAGTATTAAAACCCTTCAAGTTGTCACAGTAATGCGTAATGGAAGAGCATCTTACAGATATCATAAGAGAGAAAAATTTGGCCACAGCTCAGGGTTAACATCAGCCAACACGAAAGAAACTGCCTGGGGTTCAATGGGAAGATTGCATTTGCTCACCATGGTGTTCCCAATGGGGTGGGGATTGGATGCGGCAGAGTCCTCTGGGTAGTACTTAAGTATACTGCATATCTGGTTAACCAACAATGCCCCTTTCCCACAACAGTCAGATAAAGAAGCTTTTAGTGTGTGTAGAAGAGAAGAGACTGGATTTATACCTCGCCCTTCACTACCCAAAGGAGTCTCAGAGCGGCTTACAAGCTCCTTTCCCTTCCCCTCCCCACAAAAGACACCCTGTGAGGTAGGTGGGGCAGAGAGAGCTCTGACACAAACTGCTCTTTTTCAAGAACAGCTGTGCCAGAACTATGGCTTGCCCAAGGTCATCCAGCCAGGTGCAAGTGGAGGAGTGGGGAATCAAACCCGGTTCTCCCAGATTAGTGTCCGTGCACTTAACCACTACACCAAACTGTATAAAATCTAGTTATACAGTTTATTACGCATACACCATTTTACTTACAGAAACAGTGCTAGAAAAAGAGCCTCTGAAAAAAACAACCGAACTTTCAAATTATTTGGATCCCCTGCTAGAAGAGGTCTCAAGTCACACCCATGAAATATGAAAGCATCAAGAATGGTTGACAATGATGTTTTATTGCCTGCTTCTATATCTGATAAATGTATTCTATCTGATAATACTCTGATTTTACTTGTTGTATGTAACAACCCATAATATATGATAAATTTGTTGAATCTATATTTCCCCCTACCTCTCTTCCCTTTTGTATCCCAATTTTTTTTGAGAAAATATTTTTTAAAAAGGTTAACAAAACACAGCTTGCTACCTTGAACTGTTTCCGAAATGTAGAACACTGGAAGCTAAAGCCCTCTTCACACTGCATGCAAAACTTGTGTTTGCTTGCCACAGACAAATCAGTGCTGCAATGAGAATGTGAAGAGTGAACAACGAGTCTATGTCTCCTGAACCTGCAATGGACAAGCATAGCTGTGGACCACACAAGTGCTGCATAAAGTACAAAATGGCTCTAAGAGATCTGTGAGGGATGGAGTACGCCAATCAACACGTATTTTCTCAAAGACATTCAGCAACAGTGCTTTCAGATATAAGATACTTTGGAGCATTAGAGAAATTATACTGGCTTTTAAGGTATGGTTTGGGGATTAATATATCACTACCTAGGGGAATTATCCTGATTTTTAAGAATAAAATTGGAAAGAATGAGTAAAGGAAATATAGGTCTTTATTTGTGTAATCATAGTTAAAATAGGATGTGTAGTTGCTTCCCATGGGCAAAATGGCCTAAGAAAAAGAATCATCAAGATACGGACCCTTAAATAAATAAATAAATTTCTGCATTAAAAAACAAAAAACAAACAAATAAATAATAAAATAAAACAAAAATAATGAACTTTATAGCTGTGATACTGTAGGTTGAGCCAAAAAATAAATAAATATGTAGAAAGATATCTCTGTTACAACTATCTCTGCTGAAAAATGAACAGAATTGAAAAGGCTGAAATAGGGAGCGATGTGATGGCTCTTTCCCCTTTTATATGGGTTATGATCATCTTAGCAAAATTAAGAGTTAATAGTAATGAATGAATGTAAAATGTAAAATTAAAATGGAAACTGGGTGAAGACAGAATTAGATAGATTCGTAATTATGAAAGTACTATGCATAAAGTGGTTTAATATCTGGAATTATATAGGGAGATAATTGAAAATTTAAAAAATAATAGTAACAGAATAAATTTTGATAATGCTGTAGAAAGACATGAAATACACAATTGGTAAAATTAATGAGATAACTTATTAGAGATGGAATCAGAAAATGATTGCTATGTACATGTTAAATGTTGTTTCCAATTGGTGGTGTTTGCTTTTCTGGGATGTGAAAATAATGTGTCAATATTTTGTTAGCCAGGTCCTAACCAGAGCCATCTTTTACTCTTAAGCTGAGTCAGTGGTATTGTGTGATGCATGATGCGCTTGCAAACAAGCCAGAGTAGCCACCATCACTGTTCTTAACACGTCCATGGTGATCCCTTCCCATCAGCATGTGTCTAATGTGCAACCGTCTTGAGCATCTGCACTACTGCAAAAAACATTACTCTCCGTTAAAAAAATTACAATGATTACAAACGACCATCAATTTCCAGAAGCTGTTAAGTGTGAGAATTCAAACAACGTACCAGCATTCAGGATGAAAATCGAAGCACAGATGAAGGCTGTCAGGTAAAAGCCACCCTCTAGCTCCGTAAGGTAGCCTCCAACCATTGGTCCAAGAATGAATCCAAAATTGGAGGCTCCGTTGAAGTGTCCTATGACAAGGAGGCGCTCTCTCTCGGAAACCAAGTCAGAAATGAGAACTTTTGAAACAGAGTGCGTGTGTTTAAAAATTCCTACAAGTTAACAAGAAAAGTTTTTAACATAATACAGCCGACAAACTATCAAATTCATACTATAGAGCACAGGCTGCAGAGAGAAGCAATGCAACCAGAAGCCATTTTTAAAGATATATGATCTTGAACCGTAGAAGAAGAAATACTGCTTAACTTCCCCACTGAGAAAATGGAACATAAAAGTGCTTAACTTTGGGTGGATTACATCTACTACATTTAGTTATTAATGGTTTCTTCTCTCAACTAGACAATGAAATGATCTATGATTCGTATTGTCAACATAAAGATGCACCAGACTTGGACCTAAATTGCCAAATAGCTACTTACCAACAATAATCCGGGCGACAGCAAATAAAAACATATTTGTGGACATGCCAAGGACAAAATAACCCAATGCACTGAACAGAATGCAGGAAAGTAGGCAATAGGGTCTTCCTACTATATCACTCCAAGATCCCTGAACAAAACAGAAAAAGCGCTTTAATCACAGGGGTCTACTATAAGCAGTTTGCATATCTATTTTCTTTAAATATATAAGAACATATCAAACTGAAATACGTTATCAGTCATCTTTGTTAGAATGCTGTGATGATAATTTCAGTGTCGCCAATATTTGTACATTATTTCTGTACAACAGATAAAGACACAACAGCAGCAAATACTGAATTACTTTTTCTAGCTTCTAAAAAACGTAGGCGTTTGAAGAGTCTTCAGACTTCTTTTTATTTATTTCCTTTACCTATTTACATACCGCCTTTCACCCCAATGGGGACTCAAAAGCAGGTCACATCATTCTCTTCTCCTCCATTTTATCCTCACAACAGCCTTGTGAGGTAGGTTAGGCTGAGAGTGTGTGACGGGCCCAAGGTCACCCACAGAGCTTCCACGGCACAAGTGGGGACTTGAACTTGACTTTCCCGGATCCTAATCCAAAACTTTAACCACTATACCACACGGGCTTTTCACTCATGATTTTTAAAAATAATGGAGGCATCACAAACTTTTGTGATCGATGGGCCAGTTTAAAGAAAGGAGAAAAAAAAGGGGGGGGGAACCTTCCCTGATCTTGCCTTCTCCATTTACCCAATTCCAAACTTTCCCATATATTCAGTGTTGGCATCACATTGTGTCTTCTACAGTACTTTTCAGCCTGCACAGAATGTTATATAACAAACCTTATTTAATATGTTGTCGAAGACTTTCAGGGCTGGAGTTGATTAGTTGTTGTAGATTTTCTGGGCTGTATGGCCGTGGTCTTGGCATTGTAGGACCTGACGTTTCGCCAGCAGCTGTGACTGGCATCCTCAGACACATAACACAGAAAGATGGAGTACTCTCTGTGTCAAGGTGAGAAGAAAAAAAATGGCAGGCAGGTAATTTAGATCTACTCAGGAAGGTGGGGTAGGGCTGAGTCATTATCTTGTAGGAGTTTCCCATTAGCATGTCACAGCCTGGGAAACTCCTACAAGATAATGACTCAGCCCTACCCCACCTTTCTGAGTAGATATAAATTACCTGCCTGCCATTTTTTTCTTCTCATATTGACACAGAGAGTATTCCATCTTTCTGTGTTAGACCTCGGAGGATGCCAGTCACAACTGCTGGCGAAATGTCAGGTACTACAATGCCAAGACCACAGCCATACAGCCTGGAAAACCTACAACAACTAATAAACCTTATTTACTCAGGCAATTACCTTTGGTTAGATTGATAGTGACTTGGTCAAGGGTGCCCAAGAAGCAAAGCAACAAAGCACACTCTGAACTGGGACTACAGGCCAGTTTGGTGTAGTGGTTAAGTGTGCGGACTCTAATCTGGGAGAACCGGGTTCGATTCCCCACTCCTCCACTTGCACCTGCTGATGTGACCTTGGGTCAGTCACAAGCTCTGTCAGAGCTGTCCTTGAAAAATAGCAGTTTGTGTCAGAGTTCTCTCAGCCCCACTCACCTCACAGGGTGTCTGTTGTGGGGAGGGGAAGGGAAAGGAGTTTGTAAGCCGCTCTGAGACTTCGAGTGAAGGGTGGGGTATAAATCCAGTCTCCTCCTCCTCCTCTCCTCCTTCTGCTATGAAGTTGAGGAATCTTGGTCTTGAGGACAGACTCTTAGAATGGATAGGCTACCACCCAGAGTGTCATTGGTCGATTCCAGGCCATTTAAAATCAGCAACTTTTAAAAGGTCCAGAAACACAAACTTACCACCAAGGTGCTGGAAAAGAGCTGCAGTAGTCCATATAAAGATCCTAAAAGTACGAAGCGCATAGAAAGCAAAATATTAATGATACTACTAAGAAGGAATTTTGCAACATATTTTCGATCATGCAGAAACAAGTATCTCCCAGCTCAAGTTGTGATAGTAGTTCCTGGTCGCCTCTCTTGGGTCAGATCGGTTCCTTAAAGGACGTTTCTTGGGATAAATTCATTATTTAGCAAGTCTGTCAAGAACACTGGGAAAACAGAATGCACCTCGGCCTAATCTACAATCTTAAATATTCCATAGGTGACAGGCACAGAGATAAATGAATATGAAAAGGGTAATCTGTGGGAAGGAAGCTTGAAAAACATTCTTCCAGATCAAGAGATGTCTGCATTTGTGGAACAGCCACTAAGAAAGCTTTTCTCTGCACTGTTTAAACCTGGTCAACAGATGGTGGATAGTTAAATGAGTCTACCTGTTAATCTTAAAAGATTGTGATGAGCAGGGGTCATTTCATAGAAAAAGAGCTAGGGGTACTCATTAGCATAACTCATTAGCATATGCCACACACCCTGACATCACCGGAAGTGTGTCATAAGGCCACACCCCCTCTGCAAGGCCGGCGGGAGTGCAAGGAAGCCCCGCGAAGGCCCTCCCTGGCCCCAGGCAGGCAGGGGTGGGGAGAGGCAGGGAGGAAGCAACTTACCCTCCCTCTTCTCCTGCCTCCTCCTGGCTGAATGAGGGCCGGAAGCAGGGGGCCGGGCTTCATCATGTGCCCCGCCCACCCACACCTCACCCGGGGGACACCGTCCCCCCGCGTCCCCCCCGAAATGACCCCTGGTGATGAGACAATAATATCAGTACAGCATATAAATAGCACTCCTAAATAAGGAACCATCATAGCGAAGGAAACATTTTTCTCTCTTTTCTTTGTGACTCTACACAGATTAACTTCCCAGTTTGCCACCCAGGCTAATAACTTCCACACAGATTTCTCTCACACTGTACAGCAGCTCACCCCAGCTCCTTCCTCCAAACACACACACACTGCTCAGCACTCTAACTCTCACACAAAGCCCCTCTCTGAACAAAGTCAATTCCACTCTCTAGAGAGCGGCTGCCCTCTAATCATAACGCACTTCACTCACCCATCCAGCCCGCTTCTTTCGTACTCTACAGGCCTACATTTTAGTTCACAGCAACAGACTTTCGAAACTCCACATTAAAGCATAGAAATAAAACACACACAGTATTTACACAGCAAAACGTATAAATAGAACAAGGATGTGTATATTTGCAAAAAGGCAAAAAGCCCCCCCATGGGCTTTTTGGGTTGAGAAAATAGCACAGAGCTGAAGCCCCCTTTTCTCTAGTGTCACAGTCCAAATACAAATCAGGCCCTGTGGAGCTCTGGAAAATATATTCCCTGCAGCTGCTGTCTAGCTACAGAGAATGAGAGCCTAATCTGATTCGGGCAGAAATGTTTCAGGTAGTTCAGGCCTAAAGAGTATGCAGATGTAACATAAGCAGTGGACTTTCCTTCCACAGGAAGAGCCCACTTTCCTCCCACCTTCCAAAGGAGCTTAGCCATCTCTGCAAGTTCCAAGCCTCCTGATATCCTAAGGGGTCTTCTATTAAGTCTCCCTGGCATGTTTATTGTCCAAGTGTCACATCCTTTAGTGGCCACATTTGCTCAGCTTTTCTGAAATCACAGCACAGAGAGCCTCTGGAAAAACTTTTTTGCCCATGTAGGGCAAACAAATATCGCAAGATCCACTTTCACTAAATTAAACATCAGTTGTGTATTTATACCAGGATTTTTGTAGGACATCTTGCTAGTGTGGCTTGGTTGAGTAGTGTTAGAGACTTTTTTTCCAAAAGAGCCTCACCATCCTTATTTGCTTATAAAGTGGTAGGGTGTGCTTACCTACCACTCCTGCCACTGTTGGGCTTGCTCCCAAAGACTTGACATGAAGGCTTAATAAGGGGACAACCATGCTGACACCAAAGAAATCCTGAAAATAGACAAACATTGATTTGGAGTAAAGCTAACAAAAGCCAAAATCTTGTATTTTAAGGGTACTGCCATTTAGTTCCCTATCAAAAGTTTTCCACACCACCAAACTTAGCATGCTGTATTTTTCTATACTTTGCATTTTATTATTCTGCTCACCAGGGAAAACAACAACTAACTGTCCCCCAAATGAGACAGTAGTGACTATATTCATATGTGAGACCCACAGATTAGACATTTCTGAACCTTGACTGCAATTTTGAAACACGCTTTGGAATGGGGCCTTGTGCAAGATCCAAGAAGGATGACAACACAAAGCACGTTTCTTGGGCAATGGGATCAGCACGAACCTATGCAACACAGAGATGACTCCTGTGCCTTTTGATATTGTGCTTACACATCCTTGCAAGTTTTTTCTAAATTATTTTCTATAAAATACCACTACTCCTCAGTTTGTAGCCTCAGCTGTATCAGCAGTCTAGCACTCTGTTTTTGATCGGTGGCTCAAGTGGTTAAGACGCTGAACTGCAGGCTGTGGAAGGTCAGTAGTTCAGCAGTTCAAGACCCGGGTGCCGCATGACGGAGTGAGCTCCCGTCTCTAGTTCCAGCTCCTGCCAACCTAGCAGTTCGAAAGCAAGAAATTGCAAGTAGATAAATAGGTACCACTTCGGTGGGAAGGTAACAGCGTTCCGTGCGCCTTGGTTTTTAGTCATGCCGGCCACATGACCACGGAAACGTCTTCGGACAGCGCTGGCTCTTTGGCTTTGAAACGGAGATGAGCACCGCAACCCTAGAGTTGGACTCGACTGGCTTTCGAGCAAGGGAAACCTTTACCTTTACTATCAAATGATTGCTAGGACAGCAGTTGTTCACCAGGGCTTGGTATTCAAAAGGACAAGCAGGGGACTCATGGGGGGTGAGAAGGGCATCTCCTCCTCCTCCCTAACCCAAACCCTCTCACAGCCCCATTTCACACACCCCCTCACCTACCTTACCTTTTTCAGTCCCCTCCATCTGCCACTTTGTTTTTGGTCTGTCCTATCTTCCCTCTGACAGGTTTCCTCATTTCCCTGCTTCCTTTCTTCCTCCAGCCCCATCTCTTTTCTTTCAATCCATTTTTCTTTCCTCTCCCCTTCCATTGTGGTTTCGCTTGTCCCTACTCCAGGGCTTCAAAATGAAAGCAATTTCGGATGGCTGCCCAAATCTCATGAGGTAACCTCACAAGATCTCAGCATTTTACAACTTTTCCTTGGTTTTCATCCCTATGGTTTTTTATTTTTTATTTTGGCATATTTTTTTGGCAAAAGAATTTTATTTTATTCTTTTGGCAAGCCCTAGGGCGCACACCGATTTGTAGAAACATCTGCTCTTTCTGGACTTTGATCTACCGTGCAGATTTTTTTGAACCACTCTCTGAGGTCAGGTTTACAACTATACAGATACTGAGAAACAGCCTGGTGTAGTGGTCATAAAATGTCACACTGGGATCTGAGAAACCCAGGTTTGAATGCCCACTCTGCCATGGAAGCTTGCTGGGTGCCCTTGAGCCAGTCAGAAACGCTCAGTCTAAAACTACCTCACAGGCTTGTTGTGAGGATAAAATGGGAGGAGAGGACAATGATTTAAGCCACTATAAGTGCCCACTGGGGAGAAAGGCAGGTTACAAAGGAAGTAACTAAATATTAGTTCTGAAAGAGGACATTTCATTACATTATTATGTACAAAAGGAAAAAACTTCTCTGGGAAGGTGTGGTGGGCATTGCTTGGTGGGGTAAACAGGATTGGTACTACCCCCACATAATTAAAAATGCACTGGCTGGCCATAGATACAGTCTAGAAAAAAACCCCACATCACTTAATTTAGTTCTGAGCTTACTAAATGCTCCAGAATCACATAATGATTCTCACCATTCAGGAATCTACAAAGTTTTACATCTGGGTGTGTATATTTGCCTTGTTTACCTGTCAGACTGACAGCTGCCTGATCTTTTGCCTTCTATTCTACTATGATGATGCAAAAAACCCCAGCTCAATCAATCACTCTTCCCCCCCTTTCCTCCAAGAAACTGAGGGTGGAATACATGGTTCAGTCTTCCTCCGCTTAATCTGCACAGTAACTCTGAGATGGTTTAGGCACGGAGAAAGTGTGACTGGTCCAATGTCATCCAGGGAGGTTCTTGGCAAGGGCTGAGATTTGCACCTGGGTCTCCCAAAAGTCTTGTGTGTGTGTGAATACGATCTTTGGCTTCATCCCAAAAGGCGGAGAATACTCTTTATGATGCCCTGCGGAGCTTAAATCTGCTGCGCTGGAACCTGGGTGGCACCACAGAAGCGCCGCATCCACGTGGAAAGCGCAACCATCTCTAGAGCAGAGACAAGTCACCGGGGGGGGGCAAAGAACAAGGAAGACACCTGCAGCCCCGGGCGGCCCCTCTCGCCGCGCCTCTTCCCTCCAGGAGTCGGGACTCCGCGCTCGTCTGCCCAGCCGCGGCCTCTCGGGCCACCACGCTGGCGGCCACTGAACCTCCTCCTCCTCCTGCTCCTCCCACCCAGCCTTGCAGCCCTCCCTCGCCCGGCTCACCAAGAAGCCCACCACGCACAGACACGGCGTCAACCGGCTGGGCCGAGCAGAAGCCCCGGCGCTCGCCCACGTCGCCTCGGGCCGCCTCGCCAAGCCGGGAAAGGCAGGAGGGGGCGGCCGCTCCGAGTGCCCGCGGGGGCTCCCATTCTCCATACGAGGCCGGAGAGGGGGGAACGGCGAGGGAAAGGAGGCCGCAGCCTTCCTAGGGCGGGCGGGCGGGAGGTTTGCCCGCAGCCGGGGAGGGGGGGGGGGGCGTGAAGTTCAGTTCGATTTGGTAAGAGGTATGCAGGGAGGCTTGTGGATTATACTGTAAAAAAATATTGCCAAACTGTAATTAGAAATGTAGAGAGTCCTGTACCACTGTCAAATAGCCACTGTGAAATATCCCAGTTTATATCAATGAGTTTGGGGGGGGGCATTTGTAAGGGAATGCTTTTCTATCAAGAGTTCAGTGTCCCTGTGAAAATTCAAGTGGTTTCTAAATATTACTTAAGATGATCACAGCATATTCCAAGATTTTTTCAAAGCAGCCTGGGGGGAGGACTATTTGAATAAATATAAATAAATCCCTTTAGAAGACAAAGTGGTTTTTCTAGAGACTAGGAGTACTCCCTGATTATGTTTTTCATGTCTCTCACGACTTTTCAGCCAATAATTTTAGAGCAGTGTTATGTTTCTGTTATCCTTCAAAGGGAAGGATAATATTAACACATAGCATTTATACAAAATTGTCTGCATAATGCTTCAAAACGTGCATTATGTTCTTGCAGAGATTACCCTGTCAGGTTGGTCAATATTATCCCCAAACTGCAGACATGAACATTAAGCTGGTTTGGCTGAGGACTCCTACTGAGTTCATATTCAAAGTGCAATCTCATAACACAGTCTCTATATTTTGACTGAATTTGGGGATGTTTCATTAAATAATTGTATAAGCAACAAATCACCCTTGGTGACAATTCTGGACGTAGTCATTATTGCAGTATTTGCAGTAGCAATGAAGTGTTAACACAGAGGTGATAATGCTATAGTGATGTGGCAATTGCCAGCTGCTTTTTTACACACACACCCCCCAAGCCATCCAGGAGTGGGTAGGAAATGGCAGCTATGGAGGGGGGGGGGTTGGGCAAGGAAACTGGTGACAGTATGGAAGGGGGCCCTCAAAAATGAACACTCTAGAGATGTGCATACTATGCACTTTGAAATTAAAAAAAAAATTGTATAATCCCTCTAAACGTTGGCCATTGTGGGGAACAGAATGGTCTGAGAAACACTCTGGCAAGGGAATTTCCGTACAACAAGCCAAAACTGTTGTGCATTCAGTTCAATTCAATTCAACTGTCATGATTTAATGGGATTAGAAGGATGTAGCTCTGTTTAGGATTATATCAGTGTGGTCTAGTGTTTAGAGGGTTGTACTGAGATTTGAGAGGCCCAGGTTCAAATCTTGCCATGACGCTTGGTGGATGATCCTGGCCCAGTGTCCTAGCTTAACCTACCCCTTGGGGTTGTTGTGAAGATAAAATTGGGAAGAGAAACATGTATACTACCTCTTAGATGTGTGGGAAAATATTGTTTTTAAAATGAGATAGATATATTGATATGGCCATTTGGGAGGAAGGAATGTAGTGATGCTCTATTTTAGTTACAGCTTATATAACTTTGCACTTTTTATTCTCACTACATTCCAACACTTATCTTCAGATTTTTTTAAAAAACAGAGCATTATTATAATAAAAATTGAACATAGACTGCCGTTATGTTATGTTATGTTATGTTATGTTATGTTATGTTATGGGCTGTGGCTCAGTGGAAGAGTCTCTGCTTTGCATGCAGAAGGTCCCAGGTTCAACCCCTGGCATCTCCAGTTAAAAAGAAACAGGCAGAACATGACATGAATGACCCATGGCTGAGATCCAGGAGAGCTGCTGCCAGTCTGAGTAGACAATACTGTCTTTGATAGACCAAGGGTCTGATTCAGTATAAAGGCATCTTCATGTGTTCATTTTAGGGTTGCCCAGTCTGGGTTGGAAGATACTTGGAGACTTTGGGGGGGTGGATCCGGGAGAGGGGAGGGGCCTCAGCGTGGTACAGTGCCACAGAGTGCACCCTTCGAAGCAGCCATTTTCTCTAGGGGAGCTGATCTCTGTCAGCTGGAGATCAGTTGTTACAGCAGGAGATCCCCAGGCCACACCTGGAGGTTGGCAACCGTAGTTCACGTACGTGTTCATGTTTTTTTTTCCTTGCACCAGTTTCTCTATCATAAAATATCATGTATTAGGCTCTAATTGGCTTTAAGGGGGAAAACACTCCATCCTTCAGGGGGAAAAAAGTGGTAACTGATATAAATTTTCAAATAAAGATCTTATGTTCATTTATTGAGACAGATAAAGACAGCATTTGAAATTTATTGTAATAAATGGGACTTGTTCTTGGATTTCTGTATTACAAATAGGAGAAGATCAAGACTTACAAATGAGTCATTTATCATAAAATTTAGTCATGATTTACATTTCTCCCTGGCATTTTATTAGGACATTTAGCAGCTATCTCAGATATTTAATGTACAAGCTGAGCACGAGTTTTAAAGTAATGCACTGTTCAGGAAGATGGTAAGCTGTTATTTAAAGAATAGCATTTTGGGAATGGCTGAAAACTTAGAATCTCTTTTAAAACAGCAATGAATCTTATTTATGGAAAATCATCTCTGTTACTCAAAACTACTAAGAGGAAGCATGATCAGTAATTTAATGAGTGATTTGAAAAGATTTGTTTCTTAGAAAGATGCCTGAAAATCCCCCCCCCCCCATTTGACAGTGTTCAATGAAAGAATTGTAATAAAATAGATGGAATGAGGTGGTCACAAATGATATTTTTAAATTTACATTTGAAATTTTTATCCTGCTAGGGTTGTAGTCCACCCAATGGGGGCTGGGTTTCCCCCACTTTTGAGGGCCCCAATCCACCACAGCTCAGCAGCCCTCCCCGCACCAATGTGCCTGGTGGAATGACATCATAGAATCATAGAATGTTAGAGTTGGAAGGTACCTTGTGTTGTGAGAACTATGTGTCCCAACACACCCCCTCTGGTTACACCCCCTCTGGTTCGTGTGTCTCCTGAGTGTCGCCTCCTTACCAAAGGCAGAGGTGTAAGCTTGGAAATCACTAAGGCTCTGGCAGAGACATTCAAAGGTCTCTTCTTAAAATAAAACTTATCTTTATTATAGAAAAACATTCAGAGGTTCACCTGGAAAGATGACCAGCAAGATGCTAGGTCAACCTGCCAACACAGTAGAATCCTAGTTCCTAAACATTGATAGAATACACAGAAATATAAACATACAAGCAAAGTCCCCCCCCCCCATGGCATGCAGCGAACGAGAGGCATCTCGGGTTGACTCCAAATTCTCAGGAGAAATAAGCCTCTCTCCTGATCCTTCAAGAGTCAACGAAAGTCTGTTGAATCTGACCAGTATTTATACCAAAGATCAAAGGGGTCCCTCAATAATCAAATTACAGTTGTAAATTAACATTTAGAAGTTGAAATTGTCTTGCAGGAAATTTGCATCCTTTCCTTGGTCTTACACAACAAAAGTGTACACATTTTACAGGATCAATACAGTGTCATTGTTTTCTTCCAGGTGTTCCCCAATCATGGGAAATAAACTGTCCTTTGATGTTTGCTGAGATGGGGTGTGTGAACTCCTGTACCTCAGGAAGTTAGCTTGTCTTGCCAGCTGCCCAAATGGCCACACATTTTATTGCATAGGAAATTGGGGGTATTGGCAAGTCTCACATCTGTGGAGATCTCCTGGGAATTTCCTGGGAATTGAATGTGTTACA